CGTGACGTGTAACACTGTGTAGGAAGGTGACACAGACGGTTAATTCTGTAAAGAAGAACAATAGTAGCACAGGTTTAATTTTCTCAATGTCACTGAACTAAAGCAGGAAACCTCTATGATGCGGAGCATAGAACATGGACTCATAATCTGTAATGACTAATAGAAGAAGCTGTAATAGACTCCCTGCCCAGAAATGTACGGTTCAATGAAACCACAGTTCCCTTGGATTCAGGTTTCCCAGGTAGCTTCAGCACAGGAACCCAGCAGCAGTCAAATTCCTTCCAACACTTCAGAAACACTCATGTCGACACCCCCTGACAACTTAACAAAGGCACCACTTGACCCACAACTTATTACCCGCTGTGGAAAGCATGGGAACTTTCAATAGCTCATCCACCATTCAACAAACGTTCGGAGTGCCCGGTGTCGAGCCGCGTGTCGGGAGACGGGTCACTTCTTCCCAGCGTGTTCCCCTGAGTGTGGGAGAAGACAAATTCCTAAGCAGACATGAACGTGGTGACCGAGGTCTCAGGAAGCAGAGAAGCTGGGAGACCGCAGGAGACCAGGAGGAGAGAAGGCGAAAGTGTGGAGGCTCAGAGAAGCTGAGCACCCCAAGTTCATCTGAAATGGGAAGTGCAAGTCTGGGGTCGGAGGGAAATGGTGGGGCGGGCGGGCAGGAGAACAATCTGGACTTCCTTTCAGAAGACAAAAGGGGCCGTCTGAGACGGGAGAGATCAGGGGAGAATTCTGAGTGGCGTCAGCGTCCTCTGTTTGTGGTGCAGCTCAGGCAGCCTACGGACAAGTGTGATAACAGCACACGTTTCGGAAGCCGGGGAGCTGCCCTGGTTGACTTGTCCTCAAAATCATGCAGGGCGTCAAGCCCCAGAGTCAGGCTAACGGAACTAAGAGAGTAGAGACTTCATCCAACCATGGCGTTCAGACGTGAGCACAGCGGAAGGCCCACAGGTCACTTGTGTTCCTCTCTTGTGAGAGTTGTTACAAAGCCCTGAGTCTGGGCTGCCTTCTCTCTCTCTCTCTCTCTCTCTCTCTCTGTTTCCTGACTCAGCACATGACCCTTCCTCCAAAAACACAGTCCACTGCCGGGCGTCAGTATCTCATCCCGGGTGTTTCACTGCAAAGATGAACAGCCGACTAACACTGAAGGCCAAGACCAAGGGGCTGGCATTCGATGAGGGCCTGGAAGCCGTGCCCCAGCACGGTGCAGGGCCTCACGTGGGGACAGAGCAGGCACAGGCAAGCTCCTGTCTCTCTTCCTCTTCTTTTCTAAAGATTGATTTACTTATCTGGAAGAGTGACAGAGAGAGAGGGAGACACAGAGAGCGAGCCTGCCCCCCAAGATCTGTTGTAGCCAGAGACCACCTCCCGGGCACCTGTGACCACCAGGACACTCTGGCAGTCTCCACATCCAGGACAGCACCAACTTCTGTATTGGGCAACACCAGGTTCCTGCAAGAAATACTCCAAGACCGGCTCTAACCGGACTGGACACACCCCCTCCAAGGTGGTCACACACACCAGGAGGACTTGGACGTCCAACACGGCAGGGAGGACAGCTCTGGGTGGCCTGGACTGGACTCCTGTCTTCTGTGCTCCTAAGCGGGGTGTCACATGCCCAGGCCGTGCTGGGAGTCTGTGACTGCATGGAGACCTGGGCGCCAGGGGTGCCAACCGCACCTTCAATGGCTCGCCACGGCCCTCAGCCCAGGACCCGACGTCCTCAGCCTGGACGCTGATTTTTATGCTCAGATGGAGAATCTACCCAGCTCACAGTGGCTCCCTGTGGCTGAGAAGGGGCCCTCCCCTCCGGCCCCCATCCACAGGGCCACGGAAGCCATGTTTGCCTTGCAAGGTCTCCTGGAGAGTTTAATGGACCAAAGGTGGAGATGCAAATCATTTGTCCAGTTGAAAAAAACAACTGTTCCAGAGAGTATGGTTGTAGAACGTTAACCAGATTTGTTCTTGCTTTGCAATCTATTTGGATATTGCTTTTTTACACTGATTATATAAACAGGTGTTTCAAGTTTTACTTTACCATCCTGCTGGTTCCGCAATTAATAAATATCTTTGAAGATCTATTTATTTATTTGAAAGTCAGAGTTACAGCAGAGCAAGGGGGAGGGAGAGGGATCTTCCACCTGCTGTTTCACTCCCCAAATGGCCAAATGGCCGGGGCCAGGCCAGGCTGAAGCCATGAGCAGGGAGCTTCATCCCGGTCTCCCACAGGGGTGACAGGGGCCCAAGCTTCCTTAGGCCATCTTCCACTGCCTTCCCAGGTTCATTAGCAGGAAGCTGGATAGGAAGTGGAGCCACTGGGACTCAAACCAGTGTCCACAGGGGTTGCTGGTCACAGATGGTGGCTTTATCCACTACACTACAATGCCGGACCCTTAATTAATGAATTAACTACATCTCTTACACATGCTTCTTCTACATTTTTAAAATTATACTTTGACAGAAATAGCTAATTTCCCCATATCTGAAACTTGGTAGCTATAAGCCTGCATTATGAACGGTTTCACTATCCAAATATGTTTACTGGCAAGAGTTTTTAAATTTCATGTATTTATTTTCATTTTTTATTTGAAAGGCAGAGAGACAAACAGTGAGAGATCTTCCATTTGCTCACTCACAGTGGAAGAAAGGAAGCAGATCTCCATCTGGGTCCCCCACGTGGGTAGCAGGGACCCTAGTACTCGAGCCATCATCTGCTGTCTCCCGGGGTGTGCATTAGGACGCCTACTGCAGATCAGGAGCAAAGGAGTGGGCACTGGGATATGGCATGTGGCTCTCCCAAGTTGTGTCCTTTTTTTTAAAAGATGTATTTATTTATTTGAAAGTCAGAATTACAGAGAGAGAGAAAGAGAGGCAAAGAGAGAGAGAGAGGTCTTCTATCCGCTGGTTCACTCCCCAGTTGGCTGCAATGGCCGGAGCTATGCTGATCTGAAGCCAGGAGCCAGGAGCTTCCTCCAGGTCTCCCACGTGATGCAGGGTCCCAAGGACTTGGGCCATCTTTTACTGCTTTCCCAGGCCATAGGAGAGAGCTGGATTGTAAGTGGAGCAGCCAGGACTTGAACCAGCACCCATATGGGTTGTCAGCACTCGAGGCAGCGGCTTTACCCACTACACCACAGCACCAGCCCCCCAAGTTGTGTCTTAACCTCTGCTCCAAACGCCCAACTCCTCTCCAAGCCCTGCCAGGATATATTTTTTAAGGGTTTATTTCTTTAAAAGGTAGAGTTAACAGAGAAAGAAAGAGAGAGATCTTCCATCCACTGGTTCACTCCACAAATGGCCAAAATGGCTGGAGTTGGGCTGGAAGAAGACAAGAGCCTGGAACTACTCCTCTGGGTCTCCCACATGGGCGCAGGAGCCCAAGTGTTTGGGCCATTTTCTGCCGCTTTTCCAGGCACATCAGCAGTGAGTTAGATCAGAAGTAGAGCAGCCGGGACACGAGCCCATGCTCACCGGGGATGCCGGGGTGGCAGATGGAGGCTTGACCTACTGTGCTACACCACCACCTCCGCCCACCAACTCTGGAGTTGTGAAGTAGTTTTGTAAAAGTTGTCTCACTATTGAGATCAAAGAATCCGCCACTTCTGCCTAGCACATCTGTGACACTTCCCAAGGCCACCTGACCCCATCCGGGAGTGGTCCCAATCATGGCAGGCTCGGCTCAGCCATCAGCCAGCCCTTGGCAGTATGAGGGGACGGTTTTGGAACACCTGGCTTTGTCTTGTCCTCGCTTTATCGCCCAGATCTGCCTGATGGAACCCAGGCCACCAGCATGGAGAAGTTACTTAAGACGTGGACTCGGGCCGGTGTTGTGGCGTAGTGTGTTGAGAGGAGCACCCAGAACCTGGCCTGCTCCGTCCCACACAGATGAGCTGTGACCACCCGACAAGGCACCCACGCAGCAGGCTGCACCTTTTTGACCCCTGAGACCACGGTGAGGCAAATAAAGCTGGACAGGCAGCAAGCAAAGACCCTCCTGAGAGCGGTACCCGGCCCCCAGGCTGACCAGCCGCTAACTCAGGCCCTCCCGCGAGAGACAGCCTCCCGGCCAGCCCTGCGCTCACCTGACACCGGGACTCCGAGCACCCCACGTGGACACTCAGCCCCACTTCAGGACCCACTATGGGCCCCGAGTGCTCTCCGCAGCGAGGAGCACCGAGGGCATGCTGGGAACCTCGAGCGGCTGGTCTGCCCCGTGTGCTGTGTGAACTGGGAAGGGTGAATGAAAATGCCCACTGGAACCAACACCGCCTGGATGCAGTTACTGGGCTCACGACAGTTGGTGCAGTCGGCAGGACACGCACATTAAATATCCTGGTGCAGTCGTCTCCAGGCAGTCTTCAGGGTGAGTGTCTTGGCATAGCCACCTCCAAAGACGTCCGTGGCCTAGAGCTGTGGTAAGACTGGCTCTGGGCCGGCGCTGCGGCTCACTAGGGTAATCCTCCGCCTTGCGGCGCTGGCACACCGGGTTCTAGTCCCGGTTGGGGCGCCGGATCCTGTCCCGGTTGCCCCTCTTCCAGGCCAGCTCTCTGCTGTGGCCCGGGAGTGCAGTGGAGGATGGCCCAGGTGCTTGGGCCCTGCACCCCATGGGAGACCAGGAGAAGCACCTGGCTCCTGCCTTCAGATCAGCACGGTACGCCGGCCGCAGCAGCCATTGGAGGGTGAACCAACGGCAAAGGAAGACCTTTCTCTCTCTCTCACTGTCCACTCTGCCTGTCAAAAAAAAAAAAAAAATATATATATATATATATATATAGGCAAGCTTTTGCATAAAAGGGGACTTGAGACGTCAAGTTCTTATACAAGCTCTGGATTGAAGGAACCAATGGCGTTATAGTTAATGGATGAGAAATGAATATTTTAGCCAGAGTAGCAGAAAATCCGGTAGTACATGGCACACTTTGTCGGATAATGGACAACCGTGTAACAAATGAACAATTGACTTTCGACCGGGCAGCAGAAGCTTGGCAGCAAGCCTCCTTCAATGCCCAGATCAAACGGAGCCTGGACCAAGCTGGAAGACGATACAGGCAAATCAGCGTGCTGACATAGTCTCAGGAGGCGACCACCCCAGGGATGGCACCTGCAGGTCAAAGCATTAAAAATTTGATCATTAAAGTTCGGACCACAACATCTCCATGTCACTGTGGCCTCCGCCCTCCTGGGGGCCTGGGTAATGCAGGAAATTGCTGGCTACTTCCTCCAGGCTAGAGACCTTAAGGAGGGCTGGAATTTGTCATTCATTACAACCCAAACTCAGCTGCCACCTTCTTTGCAAAACCTAACGGGGAGAGATTCAAAAGCATTCAATGGAACTAAAATTCCAACTAATTAGTTTATAGAAAATATACCAAAATACTCCAACAGGGGCCCAGGAGCAGCCTATGAAATGGTGCAGGTCCGGTGGGCCCCAGATCACAAAATATCCCCATGAGGTCACCAAATTGTATCAGCCTCCCCTACCAAGGAAAGAGATGGGACCCAGGGGGTGGCAGGAACAATAAAACCCTCGGTGGGGAAACAGAAATTCAAAATTCCCAATTGGAGACAAAAATCCTGAGAATACAGTTAAAATGTGATTATATAGATAACAGATCATATATAAATCTAGTGATAAACTTTAAAAATGTAGATTATAAAAAAATTTAAATTTTTAATACATACAGGAAGCCAGTAACTATAATTAGAGATATAGAGGCAAAAAGTAAAAATAAATTAAACATTGAAAGCATTAGTGGACAAACCATAGAAGGATATGAAATCTCGATTAAAATTAAAAATTTTGATAGGGAAGATGTTTCAGGAAAAGCAATCTTGGCACTTGTCCCTTGTAATATTTTGGGAATGAATTGCATCCCAATAATATTTGAAGATCATATTCCCCTTTAAAAACTAGGAAAACAATCCTTAGTTGTTAGTAAGTAAATCCAACCGATTGAATTACTGATTACTAAAACCAAGCTTCACTAAACAATACTCATTAAAGGGGGGACATAAAGAAATAATAGCCAAAATAGAAGAGCTTCCAAAAGAAGAAATAACAGAACAAACCCAGTCCTTCAATTTTATAGCCCGGTATGGCCAATTAAAAAAAAAAATGGTCATTATAGACTTACAGTAGATTTTAGAAATTTAAACAAAAATGTACCAACCATACCAGGAAATTTACCAGAAGTAGACAAGATCATGAATAAAACTACTATGGACAATCCTAAATATTGTATCACTATAGATTCAACTGATACGCTTGTCTGTATTCCATTATGTGAAAAATCAAGGAGACACGGGTCCGACACGGTCATAGCAGCTCCGAGTGCCTGGCTTACAGATGGCTCAGCCTTGGCAGACACTAGTAAATGGAAACAAAATAATTGGCCAATGAGTGGCAAAAACACACGGGTCCAAAGAGAGCTGGACTGAAACAGCAGATTTAAACCTTAAAATAATGATTACCCATGAAGGGTTAAAAAGTTAAAAGCCGCTCCCCCCCACCTCCTCTGGTGAACTTTCCTGACCTCCTAGACTTGCTCTGCATAGCCATTCTCTGTAAAGTTAATTAGTCAGTAAATTACCCCAATGTGAGCGTAACCTTAGTTTCACCTAAGTAAGATAGAAGAAGTCACCATATATCTCTTTGCCTCCTGGAACCCTGACCCCACCATGTGTCCCTTATCGCCATTCAGCTGCATTCCTAGGTATGTTTGTTGTGTGGCCCTCCCTTTTGGCAATAGGAGGCTTTTTGATACTCCCTGTATAGGCCATATGGTTCTTTGAGGTCTAATCAGGCCCTTACTCGGTATCCTGTACTCCCTGTATTCATAAATCAACTGGTTGTAAAATCACTTAACTTGTATCAATTGTTTACTCTATACCTCTGTCTGATCTATGCAATGATTGATTTTCTTTGTTTAAACGTGTATAAAAACCCCAACCCAAGACTATTTGGGGCCGCTCGCCTGTACTGGGACGGGGGCCCCAACATGTCAGATCATCAATAAACCTTACCCTTTGTTAATTGCATGAGAGAAGGTCTCTTGGAGCGTTTTTGGGGTGGCAGGGGCAATCCAACCCTAACACCCACGTGGATGCCCACTCTTACAAAACTGACCATGAAACAAAATATAATGAGGTGGCAGATAAACTTAGTGCAATATCCCGGGTAGCAGCCATTAAAATTAAGACAGACCCCAATCATTGGAAAATCGACATAACTAAGTTAAAAATAACTAAAGAAGAGGGAAAATATAAGGAATACACTAAAATTAAAAAGAGAACCTAAATGGAAAATAGTCAACACAGATCCACTAAAAATAACAAAAGGAGAAATTATTCAATTACACCAATGGTTAGGACACATTGGAACGCGTGGAATCTACAAATAGATAAAAACTTACTTATTACGTGGCAACAGTGCAAAGATGCTATTAAAAAATATAACGACTGGGGCCGGTGCCTTGGCTCACTTGGTTAATCCTCTGCCTGCGGCGCTGGCATCCCATATGGGCGCCGGATTCTGTCCTGGTTGCTCTTCTTCCAGTCCAGCTCTCTGCTGTGGCCCAGGAAGGCAGTGGAGGATGGCCCAACTGATTGGGCCCCTGCACCCGCATGGGAGACCAGGAGGAAGCACCTAGCTCCTGGCTTCGGATTGGCGCAGCGCTGGCCGTGGCGGCCATTTGTGGGGTGAACCAATGGAAGGAAGACCTTTCTCTCTGTCTGTCTGTCTCTCTCTCTCTCTCACTGTCTGTAACTCTACCTGTCAAAATAAAATATATATATATATATAAAGACTGTCCAAATTTAAAACCTAGATTCAGACACAGAGAACCACCATCAAATTATAAAATCAGAACATGTAACTACCTATGACAAATCGACTTCATAGCACCATCACCTAAATTTCAAAATAAATGCCCTGCACAAGGGTAGATACAGGAACAGGATAGGAAGCGCTAGAGAACGCAAGCATCCGGCATTCACACCTGAGGACACGGATTCACGTTTCAGCGTCCCCACAGTTATTGAGAGTGACCAAGGATCCCATTTTACTGGATCTAAAGTAAAAAGGTGGGCAGAAAATTTTACATAACATGGAACGAGCACATGGCATACAGTCCACAAGCCAGCGGTAACATACAAAGATTCAATGGATTAATCAAAAATAAAATACTCCAATCTAACAATAAAAAATTAGAAAACTCCATAGACATTGCAGTTTACAAATCAAATTTAAGGCCCAAGATAAACAGAGAAAGCCCACACAGGGAAAGCATAACACAGAACACTAATCACTTATTAGAAATGATACCACAACAAGACTCAAAACTAGAATAAAACCATAGAAGGGAACTTTAAAAAAGCATTAAAAAGAAAGCAAAGGTTCTCTCCACAGGGAATTATTGCCAGTGGACCGGGAAATGCCTGCTGTACCACCGGCAATAAAGGGCAGTTAGAACTCTCAAGAAGGACTAACCCACATTTGTTTAACCCTATCAACCTGGACCCTTCAACGGCAGACGTAACTATTACTCTCCTAATCACATTCTCGCCCTTGGCTGCTGTACTGAAAACCAGCTCCTACCCATCCTTACAGACATCCTGAAAACCACCCGACAACGCAGACCTGGGAGCTGACGGCACACCCCATCCGGACAGCACTGAAACACCTCCCGTCCTCTGACTATGGGACGCCTGCATGTAGGGTCAGCCCCTGCAATCAATCGCAGAGCTAATGAAACTCATGATCTTTGCCCCCCCCACACACACACACTCTGCCTAATCTTACAGCAATCGTCCTCACAGGACACCATCCCTTCTGCAGAAGGTGACAAGGAACGAAGCAATACTGACCCACAAAACAAGCTGGTTATGATAGACTCTGTGCCTAACTGAAACCTCGGCACAACGCTGATGGATACAAATAACTGGAACATAGTCTCTGCTAACCCTCTCCTATACACAGTAGACCTACAGGACCCGGATGGATCATACACGGGTTCCCCACCTCACCATTCCAATCAGACCAGCTACCAGCTGGGTAAACAATCATTATCCCCAACTATAACGAAGATAGTCCCCTAGTCTCACCCCCCAGGAACACATGGAAACAGATGACAACATCATAACTGACAACAGTATTGATGCTGAAAATTTAGTTCAAGAAAACATACACCAACTAATAGCCTGCCTTGCGGACTTACTCCCAGAACTAAATATTCATGAGCTCACTCTCCTGTACCAACTTCTGGCACAGTTAATGGAAACACATGCTGACAAGCTCTACAACCACTTCCAACAGGATGAGAAAACAGAACAATGAAACCTGATAAGCCTCCTCATTCTTCATCTCGCCTGGCAACTATCTAGTGCAAATGCAGATGCAACCGCCAACACAGCTACAACTGGTATTACCCCAACCCACAGCTGAACCAACAGAATGGATTTACTTGGACAGAAACTTCACCCAAATAGCCGGATATTTTGACCACAAACAGCTTGCCAAAAATATTTCTTACAACATGCAAAGTTTCTATGCAAAATATGCTTTTTGTCTTCACATTGAAGACCAATGCGGAGAACATTATAAAGCTAATAAAAAATACAGTGTTTGGCATTACATACACTTTGACACCACAAATGGAGGACCATCAGTGCATTCAGCTGACCCACACAAATGCGAGGAACTGGAAGTCTGGTGGCAAGTCACTGTATCC